AAATTTTCATAGTTTTTGTAGTGGCTGGATCTCCATGTTCTGACTACATTGTATCTCTTGGTACTTGTTTCTTGCAGGTTTGATAGTTTACGCATCACTCCAAGGTCATTGGACATATTAACTAAAGGACCTCCTGTTTGTGGAGATCTTGCTGTATCATTATCTCAAGCAGGACCTCAGTTTACCCAAGTGAGCTTAACCTGTGTTCTTATTGACAGCTTCTCTTTCGCCTGGGCTAATGCATCTTCCCTAACTGTTTTAGATCATGCGCTGCAATTATGCAATCAAAGCTCTCCGGTTCTCTACTGCTCTGTCAATTCTAAAAGATGAGTTCCTGCGTTCCAGAGATTATCCTCAATGCCCTCCCACTTCTCATCTGTTCCAGCGTTTCCGAGAATTGGGATATGCATGTATAAAGTATGTTCACCTAGCATCTTTACCTGATCTTAATTTGGATATCGTCTCCACTGTATGGCTAAATTGCAATCATTCATAACTTTTATCCAGTATATACTCCCTCTGTCCCAAAAAGAATGTAATTGTAGGTTTGACCAAGTTTATATAATATAATATAATATATGTATCTAGACATATCATATAGCTAGGTGCATAGCAAAAGCTACGTACCTAGAAAAGCCAAAATGACTTCTAATTTGGGATGGAGGGAATATTTTATAATTAGTCCAGTGATACTTATTTGGCATCATCAATATTAGTACTTTGTTGTATAAATTTAGTCAAACTTAAATTCGTTTGACTCCTTGGGAATTGAGAATTGCATTCTTTTTGGGATGGAGGGGGTATCATTTTTCATATCGACAAATATCTGAAGTACTTTGAAGATAGTTCAATCTTTGTTTTTTTGTTACATCTTATGATAACCAATTTCCAAAAACTTTATAGACTTGAGCCTTTAGACATGCCCTAAAGTTTTGAATTTTCACAGTAAGTGGCTAAGAAGCACTCTCAAAATATAAGAGGCACTAAAGATGCCCATCGACTGAAATACTTTCAGAGCCTTTCATGAATATACTTTGTGATATTCTCATGTTTCTTTGCTCCAGACAGAATCTATAATCCACGCTAGTTGATTTTTAAAGATGTTCCATGATGGGCTAGATACTCATCTAGCAAATTTTCTGGTGTCACAAGAATTTGCAGACTAGCTGTGTAGAATTTTAGTTTGTTAAATACCCCTTCATTCCAAATTATAAGACGTTTTGGCTTTTCTAGATACATTGCTTTTATCATGTATCTAGACAATAGTGTATATCTAAGTGCATAGCAAAATCTACATATGCTAGAAAAGCCAAAACGTCCTATAATTTGGAATGGAGTATAAAACAATCTGTTCTGTATGTTGATGTTGATACCTATCTGGCCGTTATTGAAGCCTTTTGCTGATGAATATTAATAACAAGAGTAATTAATATAATAATAACAGTAATATTTCTTGCTATTGTTAATACCTGTTTATACTTTTATTAAATAGTTTCCCCTCTTTGTTGTCTCTTGTTGGGTTTGAGGTCTAGCCTACATGGACTTGTTTGGAACTAAAATGCTTTGTTATTGTTGTCTGCCGATGACTAAATGATTTATTATTTTTTCCATCGATATAATTCAACTCGTTACTGCTCTCTACAATTTACTTGTCTTGTTTCTGTTACTTCTAGTTTCTTCAATGTTATTTTCAAAAGAGAGATGCTCTCATAAGAATTAAAGCGTAACATTTGATAAATATTTTCAGGTATGGTCAGTTTGACAGTGCAAAAGAAACTTTTGAGGTTATTACAGATCGTGAGAGCATGCTGGATCTATTTATATGTCACTTGAACCCTAGTGCATTGCGACGCCTTGCACAAAAGTTGGAGGAATCTGGTACAGATTCTGAGCTGAGGCGATACCTTGAGAGAATTTTAAGAGTTCGTTCGACTGGATGGACACAGGGCGTATTTGCCAATTTTGCTGCTGAAAGTATGGTTCCTAAAGGCCCTGAATGGGCAGGAGGAAACTGGGAGATCAAAACACCTACTAACATTAAGAATATACCTCAGTGGGAGCTTGCAGGAGAAGTCATGCCTTATATGAAGACAACTGAAGCTGGTATCCCATCCGTTGTTGCAGATCATATTGGTGTGTACCTGGGTGTGATGAAAGGAAGGGGTAATGTAGTGGAAGTAAGTGAAAAGAGTTTGGTTAAAGCTATAGCTGCAGCTAGTAGTGAGAACGCACAGGCGGTGTCTTCTGCATCGGCAGAGAAAAACAAGGCAATTGCTGGTGGTGTTTCGGTTGGTGATACTTTGGCAAGACAGCTGGGAGTCCAGATTGCATCTGCTGATGAACAGGCAAAAGCTGCCGAGGACTTTAAGAAGACTTTATATGGTGTTGTTGACGATGGAAGTAGTGATGAAGACGAGTCAACCTCAAAGACTAAAAAGATACATATAAGGATACGTGATAAACCGGCTGCACCTACTGTTGATGTCAACAAATTGAAAGAAGCCACTAAACAGATAGGCTTGGGTCCTCCTCCACTGAGTAGGACAAGGTCATTATCAGGGACACCTCAAGACTTTAATCAGGCTCCTACACAACCAGGAGGTCCAGCAGCAGCTGTTTCCCCAGCAATGCCAAATGCTGCAATTGATTTGTTTGGAACAAATGCTTTAGTGCAACCGCAGGCACCCTCTAGTGCCACAGGTCCTGTTATTGCAGGCATGGGAGTGACGGCTGGACCTATCCCTGAGGACTTCTTCCAGAACACTATTCCATCACATCAGCTTGCGGCTCAATTACCTCCTCCTGGAATAGTCCTCTCACGAATGGCTCAACCTGCTCCTGGTATGGATCAAGGCCGCCCAGTACCTAATCAAATGATGGCTAATGTTGGCCTTCCAGATGGTGGGGTGCCGCCACAAGCACCACCACAGCAGTCACAGTTTCCACCGCAGCAGTCCCAGTTTCCTCAGCAACCAGGCATTCCTATGGGCTCTATTGGCCTGCCCGATGGTGGTGTTCCCCCACAGAGTCAGCCACTTCCTTCACAAGGCCAGGCTCTTCCATCACAGGCACAGGGCTTTCGACCTGGTATTCCTGCTCCATCACAACCCATTGATCTCAGCGCTCTTGAGGGTCCTGGAGTGGCAAAGCAAGCTGCTCGCCCTCCAGCACCTACTGCTGTGCGGCCTGGCCAGGTACTGTGTATTTCCTGAAAAGAAATCTGATGGGTCTGGACTGCTTTCCTTGACACCCTCATCCATTATTACAGGTACCACGTGGTGCCCCTGCTGCAGAATGCTACAAGATGGCTCTTGCTCATCTTGAGCAGAATCAACTCACCGATGCACTATCTTGTTTGGACGAAGCATTCTTAGCCCTTGCAAAGGACCAGTCACGTGAAGCTGACATCAAAGCGCAGGCCACCATTTGTGCTCAGTATAAGATTGCAGTTGCTCTGCTGCAGGTAACATTTGTTGTCTCAATTGCATGCGGCGAGAAATACATCTATGATTAAGATCAGCTTGCTAGTCATTCACCTCGAACCGTTGAGATTGTTGCCTTAAGCGTAGCATCCTTGGTTTCTGTGCAGGAAATTGCTCGTCTGCAAAGGGTTCAAGGAGCTGGTGCTCTGAGTGCGAAGGAGGAAATGGCCAGGCTATCTCGGCACCTTGCTTCCCTGCCCATCCAGGCCAAGCACCGCATCAACTGCATCAGGACTGCCATCAAGCGGAACATGGAGGTCCAGAACTACGCCTACGCCAAGCAAATGCTGGACCTCCTCTACTCCAAGGCGCCTCCGACGAAGCAGGACGAACTCAAGAGCCTGATCGACATGTGCGTCCAGAGGGGCCTGACGAACAAATCCATCGACCCGTTCGAGGACCCCTCGCAGTTCTGCTCCGTGACGCTCAGCCGGCTATCGACCATCGGCCACGACGTCTGCGACCTCTGTGGCGCCAAGTTCTCTGCGCTCTCCGCACCTGGGTGCGTCATCTGTGGCATGGGGAGCATCAAGAGATCCGACGCCCTCGCTGGTGGACCTGGACCCGTGCCGTCGCCTTTCGGCTAGAACTCGAGACGTTTCCTTTCTTCCTCATCGGTCCTGGTTTTGTATCTAGTGTGCAGTTTGCATTCCTTACATTCGATGGTTGTAGCTCGTATTGTATTTGTATGTAGCCTTTTTGACGTGTAGCACACTTGGTGCTGAGAGCCATGTACACCTGTACTGTTGGTTTGGTTGTGATTATACACACGGTGTTTTGCGAGCTAGCAATGTAATGTGCACATCTGAGACGCGAAAGTTGACGTGAAACGTTGTACCGTCGACAGTTGGTAAAAACAATTATTGCAGGAACTCGCATATACAGAAATAGCAGATTAGCAGTGGTGAAGGGACTTGTCCAGCATAATCACAGTAACGTAGAGCCGTGACTTACTTGGATCATAGTAAAATAGCCACACTGAGCATAGGGTGAATCACTGGAATCACTAGATCACGGGGAGCTCGGTGCGGTGAGCCGGTGACCGTGCTGCCGGCGTATCTGCGACTGCGAGACAACAGACAAGAGCCATGGACACGCGCCCGTGTGCTGCGGGCGTCAGAGGCTGAGAGGAGTGAGTGCGTGCCCACCCACGCGCGCCAACCCCGCCCGCGGCAGGGGGGCGCCGTCACGGGTTCTTGGATGACCATGCCCGGGGGGCCCCGGGTCTGCTGGAGTAACATGCAGAGCACCGCACCACCAGATACGGCTTGCTGCTGCCTCATCGGCCGCACCGGCCGCGTCCCTTCTCGGCAGGCATTCATAGCGGCATTGTCCTATACAGGGGACCGCACAATCACGGCGGGTAACCGCGCGACACGTCGCTCGCTCTCCAGAGCCTTCCTGACCCCAGTACAAAGAAGCCCGGAACCGAGCGAGCGGCACCTCACTCCACTCCACTCCCTCACTCACTCCGCCAAAGCTGTCAGCAGCCTACAAGCACCAGCAGAGCTCTTCCCGATGGCCATGGCCAAGCCCCCGCTCCAGACCGCCGCGATCCTCCTCCTCCTGCTGCTCGTCGCGGCCGCGTCTTGGCTCCAGACCGCCGACGCCGCCTCAGGTACGTACTACGTTACCTGAATGGCTGAATCTCGTGACTGGCTTCTATCTAGGAGGCCGGCCGAGGCGTGGTCGCCGTCCGTCTCGATCCCGTGCGTGACTGGTGGTGACCGCTGATGCGCCGGCACACACGCCACGCATGCTGCAGGGTTCTGCTCGGGCAAGTGCAGCGTGCGGTGCGGGCGGGCGAGCGCGCGGGCGCGGGGCGCGTGCATGAGGTCCTGCGGCCTCTGCTGCGAGGAGTGCAACTGCGTGCCCACGGGCCCGGCGCGCGGCGGCAACGAGTGCCCCTGCTACCGCGACATGCTCACCGCCGGCCCCAGGAAGAGGCCCAAGTGCCCCTGAAGACTGAGAGGCACCCAAGACCTCCACTCCCTGCAACTGCAATCCTCCACTGAAGATGAAGAGACGGATCGGGCGTATGTACGTACCTGCTGGGCCAGGCTATACCTGTTATGTTATATGTCCCTACCTACTACATATTTGTGTACGTATTTTTGTATGTATTTAGCGGTCGTGAGATCGACGTACTGTTAGTCTGTTAGTAGTGAGAGTGACAAGCTGAGTGAGTTAATCAAGGTACTAAATCCTCAGTAGAAGTTGGCAGAATGGACTGTTCAGTGTAGTATGTACGCGTTAGATCCGTGTGATGGTTAGGCTGCCTGTACGTATGTACTAATGTACATGAACTAATAATGTGTTATATATGCTCATATGACTTCATGAAATGAAAAAGAGCATTACGCGAAATGTTACTGTAGAAAAATACTTGTTAAAAAAAAAAAGTTCAACAAATTATAAAAAGTAAGCCGTGGTTTAAAAGCATTACGCATGTCCTGGAATACATATACTTTACGTGATACTTCTTTCGTTCTAAATTATAAAATATTTTGATTTTTATAGATTTATAGCTTTTGCTATATATCTAAATACATGTTATATTTAGATACATCAAAATGTTATGAATCTAGAAATACCAAAACATCTTGTAATTTAGGTTGGGACGGTCGGTACTCAGCAGGTTGGGGAGGAAATCGGGGCTCCGGACTCGGGACCTCTTGTCGGCGCGGGCGGCGGCCAGAACCACCAGAAGTCGAGGCAGAGTGAGGGGCGAGGTGCTGTCTCCGTTGTTACTCAACTTTTGTTCATAATAAATAACAGTCAGCAGACAAACACTATGTTTGATGTTGCTAGGGCGCTAGTCATATGCAATTTTGACAAGCTTACAGCCGCACATATTTGTCATACATGTCATGTCATTTTTTTGGATTAAAATGTGCCATAGTCTGTCTAATAATGTGGTATTTCTATAAACACATTTACGCATGTAATATTATATTGCTTGTGCCGCTAAATATCAGTATTGCAATATATACTGCTAGGCACGGCACGGGGCTTCCCGTGACTGTGAGCTTGTCGTCAAGCTGTGACGTCGTCTTTTGCCTTCTGCATCTGCATCGCCCGAGAGGTCATCTTCGAGACCGTGCATGTGCATGTGACCCTGCGCTGCTAATTTGGTGCCCCGACCCGATCGAGGCCCGGGCACTCGATTGCCGGCGTGTTCTTGGCTTTTGGCCTTGAATCTTTGTTACCATTCGTCCGTTTCACAGTACTTTCAGCTATAACTTATCAGCCAAACGAACAGGCAATTATCAAAGAGCGCAGTTCGATTCGTGTAGCAGGTATGTCCGTCGACATATTTGATTCATGCAACTTCGACGTCCTCTAACTTATGGAACGGGATACGCACGACACAGGCAACAACTCATGCGAGAGAAGCCGCACTCTGTTTGCGAACTCCGAAGAGTGCACAGCATAGTAGTCAGAATCAGGCCTGGGTATCAAGTTGTGCACATGAAAACATCGGGTGCCATGTGTGGCAATATAATCTTCCCTTCCTCCCAAGTACCAATTGGACTACTAGTGTGGACGAAAGTCACGGTGCCACGCAGTTTTTCTTCTCTCTGCTCTGAATAAAATGCATGTCAGCAGTGTGTGTGTGTGTGTTTGACAATTCATTCGGCGAGCTTTATTGATTGAGAATGGTTATATCCTTTAACAGGGAAAAAAATTAAAACAACAGTATTTTCATCGTCCCAAATACAGGGCAATGCAGCTTGGTCTTGGACGTCCTCTAACGGGAACGGGATACGTACGACACGGCAATATCTCGGACAGTTTTTGCGACCTCCGATCGGGACAGAGCTGTAGTCGGGCCTGGGTTCAGAGTTGGGTTTGGGCCGTTGCGAACCCTCTCCAAATGGTGTTGCATCCATCATATATGAAAGCCGCCGAGTTTGCCGACAAACCACCATTCTTTATTGTTTCTACAACCTCCGTACAATTCGCATGAATTATCAACCGATTACCTCCAACATGTTAAGCTAGCATTAGTCCTTCCTCCAAAGCATATGCTCCTACGGTATCGAGAGCGTGTGTTTCCGCCTCTTTCACCATTTCGCTTGTTGATTTGATTTCGTCTTAAAAGCTTATTCAACCACCAAAAAGCGAACATGTTAAGCTAGCATAGTCCTTCCTGCAAAGCATATGCTCCTACGGTATCGAGAGCGTGTGTTTCTGCCTCTTTGTTTCTTTCTTTCCACAGGAGCAGAATCTCAGCTGGGCCACAATGGGCCGTTGGGCATCTGGGTTGCAGAAGCCCAATTTGAAACATCGAGGATACTGATGCTAGTCCACCACCGTGTGATCTGTATCCTGAATTGAAATTAACAACGGCTAGGACGGCGATTTCGAGCTTATGATGATGATGATGCTGCTGTACACGGCGCCAACGACGACTCAGCACTGTCTGTACTGCTGCTAGTGCTAGCGGTAGTACTATCATGCATATGCATCAAGTAGTTTTTGCAAAGCCGGTCGGGGGTTGAAACGTTTTTTTTTGGCAAATAGAAAAGAGAGTACCCCTGCTTTTGTTGAAAGCTAGTACTAGCACACCGTACGTTGACCCTGTGCGTGCATGCATGATGCTGGATCTCCATTGGGCCCTGTGTCTGTGACTTGCGAGAGGCGTACGTCACTCTCATGTCTGCTACAGGCCTGGGCGTGGCAGATCATCAACGATCAAATGCATGGTTGCCTAAACGGCGGAGCGTGACCTAAAATCTTGAACATGCGCAAGGTTCAGTGTTCTCAAACCAATTCAAAATGCACCATTGATTGTCGGCTAAACTTTTTAAACTATATAACCCCCCCCCCCCATTCATTCTTGTCACCGACAGATCTGCCGGAGAGGAGGAAGGAGGGGCTGATGTCTCCTCATGCACGCGCGGGCCTGGATAAATAACTGCACATATCATTTCTTGTGTAGTCAAATCTATTAAAGTTTAACCAAATATATATACAACAAATACTACTAATATGTATAATGTATAATAATACTAAATATCGTTAGATTGGTCATAGAATGTACTTTAATTTCATAATAATCTTATCTACAAACTTATTTGTAGATGTAAAGTTATTTTGGGAATTGGAATGGAGAGTACTCTACACTGCAGGAAGTCTTCCCACAGACCCACAGCACTGCCAGCCAGTGCCAGTCGTGGGTCGTTGAGTTGAGAATGCGCATAAAGCGAGAGCGTGCATCTGCTCGCCCCAAAGTTGATGGACTGGCGACCAGAGAGCGTGGCAATGGCAACACACCCAGCAAGCAGCATGCAACCGGGAGCCCGGGACGACACTCGGTCCCTCTACTCTCTAGGCCATGGCCCATCATCCCACACAGTCAGAGGCAGCGTTAACACTGGTTTGTCCCTCCAATACAGATGGATACACCAGAACAGGATTTTGGGCCATGTCGTTTTCCAAAGCTAGCTAGGCCAAACCATACATTATACATATACCGATTGATGCGCTTTAATCGGTTAAGGGCTTAGTAAGGCCGGCCGGCTCTGTCGGCTGTGCATGCATGCGGTCGGCAGTCAGACTGCACTGCACTGCATGCCCGACCGAACCGAACCGAACCCCATCATGGCGCTTGCTGCCGCCTACGGTGATCATCGATCAAGCTCCCCGGGTTCGATCGGGGCCACGCTCACAGAGACACACTGCCTTGTAGTACTCCTCCTAATATAAAAACAGCTGGGGTACGTCTGCCGGACGGGGGCCTTGCACTGCATGCAATGCAATGCGTGCACCCAATTCCGATCCATTCGATTATTCCTGCGTCCGTGCGTGCCGGCTGGCCGGTCGCTTGGTCGTCGTCGTCGTCGGGCAGAGGACCAGCATGCAGCGCCTGATGTGCTGTGTACGTAGACATGTCATGCACAGCAAAATGGATGAAAAAAAAAACAAAGCGACTTATAATTTAGAAATGGATGGAGTATATATTACTTTCATATATGTACTCATGACCAATCTCGATCGCTCACTAGCTATTTGCCGGCCAGAACTTTGTAATTGAAAAAAACATGGGATCGATCGATGATTGCACAACTTGATAGTTTGGATCAGAACGTAAAGATGACGATCAAGGTCAGTCGAATGATCAACTAATTGTCCTTTCAGGAGTTTTATTTCTTCTCTCCACGATCGACCTCCATAAGTCACCTTTACTGCTGGCTCAAACAGAATATCATAGCAAAAAGCTTTGCCAAGCTGTATGATATGATCCGATGGTCGCCTCTCAACTTTAGGGTATATTTGGGACTGCTTTGCTCCACCAACTCTAAAATGCAATGGCTCCACTTTAGTGCTGTTGTAAAAGGAGAACATGTTTGACATGCAGCCTCACTCACAACTCCTAGAATGGGAGTTTTTTTTTTTGGGAAAAGTCTAATATACCACTGGATGATGTTTGATATATGTAAGCATATGTGTGTTATTGTTTTCTTTTACTTATCGGAATATGATGTAAAATATTGTAATTGCACTAATTTAGTTTAAAAGAAAAACATATATGATGGTAAGAAGAAAACTTCTCTTATCATCCATACATAAACAAGTTCATTTGTGAACTGCATGACATTTGCTTTGATTCAATCACTTTGTATTGGCAGACATCCTTCTCTTCTCAGTTGAGAACACACCAATTCGTTCTGTATATTCCAATTAGTAAAACCTGACCTAGCCATCAACTCGTCGGTGGGAGCTCATGGGTGACCGATTTGAGGGCATCGCCACTAGGGTTAGGGTACGGAGGGGGTACGGTAGTGCTATTTTCCCAGCACTCGAGGAAGAAAGGTACAAGAGGGGGGGGCAATGGCGAAGCTAGGATGTTTGTTAAAGGTACGCCAAACCAAATTTTTTATACGCAAACCGGTAAAATCCATTTAGCAATTCGGTAGAGTATCATAAAAATTTCCTCATAATCCGGTACACAACTA